CCATAAAATTATTTTCATTGCTACTTCATAATTGTAATTATTTTTTTGCTACTGTTATGAATCATAACGTGCATCCTGATATGCAGGATATCTGATGTGTGACTCCTGTAGTGGTTGCAACCCTCGGGTTGAGAACCGCTGCCAGAGAACAAGAGTTTTGTCAGGAAGGCTTCGACTTGCCATAATCCCCCACCTTAAGGGCTTTCGGAGAGCATCCAGGACTTTCATGGTGACTCGGTTGAAGTCTTCTCCTGCTCCTGTGGGGAGCAGCCTTTAGGAGTTCAGTTTTCTGAGAGCAAAACCCTGTGAGCCCATGCACCTTAGGAAGTGCACTGGCCGCTCACTGAGCCTGGACTGACTAGGCTTCCCAAGCACAAGCTCCACAGGTCTACTGGCTGTATGGTCTGTAGACAGCAGAAGACTGTTGGTCCTTCTCTTGGAGGTTGCAGACCTTTTCTGAAAGAGCCAGAAAGTAACCACTGGAGGCCTTGTGGGCCACACAGCCTTGGTGGCACCTGTTGAGCTGTGGGCTGTAGCTAGCAGGTAGTCACGAGGACAGATGTTGATGCTTCAGCTGTGCACCAAGGTTTATTTTGCATGTATCTTTTATGTACCATGGAATGTTACCCTGATTTTTCCCCCAGAAATTTAATGATGAAACTATTCTTAGATGCACACTGTACAAGAGTAAGCACTGGGCCAGATTTGGTCTGTCAGGCCTGGTTTGCTGGTCTTTGCTTTGATCATATGTATTCTAACAGTATGAGAGTATGTAGATGTGACTCCAGAGGGACCTCCACATTGACTAGTCTGTGTCCTTTAAGGGGCAAGTGCAGAGAAATTCAGCCCCTGGGAGAAAGGATTGCAGTATGGTCCCAGAACTAGGTGAGGCAAGCCTGGGCCAGGACTGACCAGGGCATTAACTGGAAAAGGCAAAAAGAAATGACCTCTCTTGCTGAGTGAAGACCACATCCCACAGTCCTGGGTTCTGCCTCCTGATGCTTCCCCCGCCCGCCCGCCCATCCTCCTGCATGGAGAGGATGGTCTCCCTATGTGAGAGTCACTACTGGGGCTCAATTACAATGATTTTCCTCATCTGTGGTTCCTCCTAAGTGGTCCTAAGGGGTAACAAATAATGATGTAGTGAGGACCCAGAGGATGAAGCTAAAGTAGTCTGGGGCTCACGGACAATAATCTTCCTCCACCCAGAGTGTCCTCTGGGCCGGGAGGACCCTGAAACCGAGATGGATAACACATGTTTCCAGCTTAGAGAGGATGCGTCCTCGACTAGCTAAGCCCAGCTGTCACCCTGCCCTTGATTTACGGAGGAGACCAGGAAAGAGATTCAGGGTTTACTGTGGGGACTGTGGAGTGGCAGCCGTGGACGTGCCTCCGGGTTCCAAAAGCACCGCTCAGAGGCCGGTTTGTTTCCCTCTGCGTCTCTCAGCTAGATAGGGAGCAAACACCAGGTAGATTTACTTCATGTTTGTGATTTACATCTTTTCTTCTCCTGAAATACAAGATACAGACAAGAGAATTATTTAGAAAGGTTCAAATGACCCAGACAGTGTCATTAAAAAAAAAAAAAAAATCCTGAGGATTGAAAAGGCAAGAGGAATGCTAGCTACAGAAAATGCCAGATTTATAGTAGATACTGAATATTAGTGCCTGCTTAGAGGATAGAAGAACAGGATTGATGGATGGGTGGGTGGATAGATTCTGAGAGGATGCAGCTTATTCTTCCAATTAGATCTCTGAAGGTGCTTTTAAAGGGAGCTTAAAGTTCTGTGTCTAGGAACACAGCTTATTTCACATGTGACCTAAAGCAAAGAACCCTGCTGAAGACTGTGGCCCTGGGGAGTGAGTGATTGGCATGGTCCTTAGATAAAACATCGGTGAACTGTAAACTGGGGCCTGAGCTGCAGATTGGAAAAGAGACCTTCCCACGGAACAAAGCCTTCCTGGAACCTTATCTACTGACTCGTTTTTCTGGTACAACCATTGTTATCACAGTTGTGTGCCGGAAGGTCACTCAGATCAGTAGTGATAATGACCAAAAGTAGGGGCTGATGTGGAGAAAGGGAAGGAATATGGAGAAATCTCTTAAGCGTTTCCATATTCCAGCAGTATCACTCTGAAGCAGAAACAAGACTGGCCCAAGGAGGGGTCTTTCTGTGCCTTTTATTAGTAGGTCGGTCATTCATCAAGATACACAGGAGCTAAAAGACTCCTCTGCTGATAAAGCTGGGAGAAAGCAGAAATTCTGTCTGGGTGGATTTCTGGGCTTTGTGTGTCTGTTTTTCCGACAGACATGGAAGTTCGTTGACCGTTAGTAGTGATTGGTTTGTGGTCTGGTTTGGCTTCACTTGGTTTGACTCTCTCATCAGGAGTAGTCAAAATGTTTCCCTCACCTGAAGAATTGTGTGGAAATAAATTGCAGGTGTCATGCACACAGCTCCACACAAACGCGGGTGTTAAGGTTGCTTCAGTTCATTGGGTTTTTCACACAGAACCTTATCATGGAGCCCTGTCTCACCTGGAGCTCACAAAGATCCACCTGTCTCTGCCTCGAGGATGCTGGGGTTAAAGGCGTGCGCCACACCTGGCTGCTTTATTGTTATTTGAGACCAGGTCTCACTATGTGACCCAAGTTTGCCCAGAACTGGTAACTCTCCTGCCTCTGCCTCGTAAGTTCTGGGAAGTCTGGTAATACAAGCTGCCTCTGACAAGTAAAGGCGTATGAACAGAACGGCTTATCCCTCATGCTCACCCTCCACACTTTCAGTGGGATTCCCAGGCAATGGCAGGAGGGGTCGCTGCAATTCTGAGCTCTTGAGTTTTCCTTGAAATGAGTTGTTTCAGTTGTGGCTGGATCCTCTTTCCTTTCCCTGTGTTGGAAGGCCGTCGTTGTAAATGCTGTTCTTTGGGAATCTAAAGCTGACAACAATCTCTCATCCAGTCTCCCCCCCCCCCCCCCCCCGGTTTTTTCAAGACAAGTTTTCTCTGTAGCTTTGGAGACTTTCCTGGAACTCACTCTGTAGACCAGGCTGGCCTTGAACTCACAGAGATCTGCCTGCCTCTGCCTCCTGAGTGCTGGGATTAAAGGCGTGCGCCACCAATGCCCCAGCATTATCTCTCTTTTTTTTTTAATCTGTTCGCTGAAGCAGAACTACCTACTGTGACAAAGAACCTGAGACCTGGCTGTCTAGGGGAAAGCTGGAGCCCACCCCTTCAGTGTGGGGATGCACAGGCTGTGGCGGTTTGTTTGTTACCACCTCTGCCTCTCTAGCCTCAGCGACAGAGATATGCTGAATCCCTGAAGTCTGCCAGGCTGCCAGGCAGGGTTTCATTCCTTTGTCTCTCGCCCACCCATCTCATTCTCATTTTTTTTAATTGACAAATTAAAATTGCAGCTTAGCATGGTAGTACAGGCCTACAGTCCTAGCCTTTGGGAGGCAGAGGCAGAAGGATCATGAATTCAAGGACTGCTTGACCCACATACTGAGTTCCAAGGCAGACTGAGCTTTCATAGAGAGAGACCCTTTCTCAAAACAAAACTAAAGAAAACAAATCTGTTAGCTTCATTCATCTTTTTTTACTTTAAAAAATCTTTACAGACACACTTCTTAAAGTTCATCTGTTTAAAGCATGCAGTTCAATGACTTTTAGAATGTTGTAGAATTTTGTTTCCTTACAAACTAAATTTGGAATATTTCCATCAGCTAAAAAAATCCACAGCTCTCAGTCACTGGCTATACAGACATACCTTGAAAATAACTGCAGGTTTGGCTCCAGACCCCTGCATTCAAGCAAAAAAACCAGCAAAGCAAGCTGTACAATTTTTTAATATAAAACCTATATTTATACTATATTGTGGGACACTGAATGTCCAGAAACACAGCAAACACATCCTAAGTGTACTTTATTGGTGAAAACACCAATGGTCATCTGAGCCTCAGTACATTTTAATATTGTTGCTGGGGAAGGTGCTGCCCAAGTGAGGATGGATGCTGACTGAACATGCTGTTAGTTGTGAAGACTGGGGTATCATTGGTTGAAATTCCTGAAATTAAGATAACAGGGACATCTGCTGCATCAGCTGGCTCTTGCCCTCATGAAAAGTTCTTGATAGAATAGGATGCTGCTTGATGTTGTAACTACAGTAGAAATACTTGTGAAACTGGAGTAGGTCTTCCGGTACCTGCCAGTGCCTTGTCAGCTGAGTTCACGACATGTTCCTAATCTTCCATGGTCATTTCAGCAGCTTCACAGCGTCTTTGCCAGGAGTACATCCCATCTCAAGAAATCAATTTCTTTAACGTACGAGACAACTCCCCATCCATTAAAGTTTTGTTATAAGATGGCTGAACTTGTTCACATCTTCAGGCCCCACCCCTAGACTGTCCCGTCAGTCCCCTCACATCCGTAGTGACTCCCCTGAAGTCTCAGATGCCTCAAAGTCATCCATAAGATTTGGAATCAACTCCATCTAAACACCCATCACACTGATGTCTGACTTGCCACCACTGATCATGATTGTTCTCAATTACGAACTCTTGGTTTTCAGTGTATGTTCCCTGGACTTGTGATGATTGGTTTAATTATTAACTAGGCACAGTCTTAGAATAACCTGGGAACTGAGTCTCAGTGAGTGATTGTCTATAGTAGGTTGGCCATTGAACATGTCTGTGGGAGATTATCTTCATTTTGTTAAGTGATGTGGAAGACCTGCCCACTGTGGGTGACACCATTCCCTAGGCAGAGGATCCTTGATTGTGTGAGAGTAGAGAAAAGGAGCTGAGTACCAGTTTGCATACATTTGTTTACTGGCCTTTAAAGGGTCATGCCTATAGATGTGGTAATGACTAGCTGCTTCCAAGTCCCTGCCCCTTTACTTTTCTGAGATGGTGTGCTCTAACTTGAAATCATGAACTAAAATAACCCCCCTCCCTCATTTGTTTCTAAAAGGCTAATTTATCACAGCAATGAGGACAGGAAGGAAGGCTCACCAAAGGAATCAGTCTAGAGCAGCTACACCCTAATGGAATATAATCCTGAAGCAGTATGACTTGAATGTCAAAATCAGTCCTCCATCCATGGAGGTGCAGACTGAGCGCTGTTAACAAACATGAAAACATCGGTCTCCCGATACATCTCGAAAGTACATGTCTGTTCCCAGCCTGTTTGCATAGTTATTCATGTGTTCACTGGAGTAGCACTTTTAATTTCCTTAGGGAACATTTCCTCTGCATTCACAGTTTTATTGAATGGTGTAAGAGACCTTCCCATCAGAGCTCTTGGGTATGTTGTCTGTTATGATAATCTTATGGAGGGAATCTTCTCTTGAGCAACAGATCGTAACAGTGGGTTAAAACATTTAATAAACATGTCAGAAGAAACTTTGCAGTCCAGTTTTTGTTACTCTGTTACAGTGTGTAGGTTCCAGCCCCACTTGTGATTGTTACAATGTGCTCACCTGAGTAATAAAATATCTGTCTCACCCAAGTAACCATTACTCTATGTTCTGTTCTTATAAATGTACCCATTTTCTGAGTTCCTCCTCATCCTCTATTGCTGCCAGGGGGTTAATTTACATTCTCTCCTTCATTACTTCACCCTCCTTGGTCTCTTTGTGGCTTCTCCCTGTCCCCTCCTTGCTTGGCTTTGTGGTGAAAATGGAGAGGAGCGAGAAGAGAAGGGGGTCAAGCTTGACAAGATCAGACACTGAGCTCAAGAAGAGATACACAGATGTCATCACACTGTCAGCAGAGTGACCTGGATAGCACACGCAACAGCCCTTTGTAGAATATCAGATCACTTCATGTAGGGACAGCCCCATGGTCACTGAAGGTCATCATTATCTCAAACTGAAAAGAAAAAGAGTTTGGACCAGGCCACTGGACCTAAGAGATATTCCTGGGTGCAGTGTCTCCTGGGAAATGTAGGTGTACTACCCCCACTCAGACCAACTACATCAGAAACTGGGTGCGGCTCTCTCCACACCACCCATCTGTGTTTGAGCAAGCCCCATAGATCATTCTGATGTTATTCTAGAGAGTTAGAACCCCTGAACTTTTTTTTTTATATCTGCATTCCCACCAACTGTGAATAGATTTCTAGGTTTGCAAAAATTAAAGATGATTTTTAGTAAGAAGAGAGCAAGAAAAATGTTCAATTTTGTTAGAATTCCCCCATTATTTAGTATTCCATTTTAATTAAAGTCAGATCCAATGATGTAGTTCTATTTCAATTGAAAGCATATCTTAAAAAATAAAATTAAGTCACATCCTAGATCTGAGTCCTAGAGCTCCTGTGTCTGTTTCAGAGACCCTTAGGGCACAAGATGCATGCCATGACATGAGGGACCGTTGTCTTCCTGACACTTGCTGTGTGCTCCAACCCACAGGTCTACAACACGGGCCCGAGCACCCTCCCTGGGGCATCTGTCAGCGTCTCCTTCCCTAGTCGGCTGTCACCTGGTGGCGCAGAGATGTTTCAGGTCCAGGAGATGGTGGTGAGTCCTCCATTTGTTTCCTATATTGCTTTCAGCTTTGAGCTGCCTGTTTGAAATATGTGTTCCACACTGGCATCTACTCACAAGACTCAGGAAATCTGATTTCACACTTTTGGAGACGCACCAGAGGAAGCCCAAAGAAAGACATGAATTTCTATGTTGAGACAATTTAGTTGATGTCATAAGACCTTGGAAGGGCTGAGGTGGGGACAGTTATAAATTCATCCTCCAGGGTGACTTCCAGTACCTCTGGGAACTCCCAAAGACTATCTGCGGTCTCATATGTGTGAATGCCTTTCTCTGAGAAGAGCCTCAGCATTTGTAAAGATTCTCAAAGGAACACTGGCACTCAGGGATTACAGATCAGTGGGTAAGATAAATGCATGATGGGGCTGCAGCGCAAGGTCCTGTACAGACTGGGAGGCCACCCGATCCTGTATCACCTACCTGTAGCCGACTTTGTCTCGAGGGACGCTTGATAAGCCGTGTGTGGGCATTGCTGCCCGCCTGCCTAAAACATACTCCTTGACTCCAAGGCTTTTCACCCAGCTTCCTCTTCCCACTGACTTTCTTCTCACCTCCCCAGCTTCAAGGGCTCAGCCTCCTTTATTCTACACTCCTAACCTGGAGTCTAAGCCAGACTCATGGACCAGTCTAGCCTATGCTGATGACACCACCAATTTCTGCCCAGCCTAGTTCCCTTCCAGGAATTAATTACAGGCTTGCCAACCACCTACCTCTGTGCCTAACAGACATCTCAGTGCGTGTTTCACTGGTCTCTGTTCCTCCTCTTACATAGACACCAGCATTCAATCACAGCCCCTACATCCTGGATGTCACCTAACCCGGTCAGCCACCGAAGGCCCCACCCTTGAGCACAGGAGATTAAACGCCAGTGTGTGTTTTGGAGAGAGCAAACCACACTGACACCATGGCATCTTTCAGGCCTCTATCTCGGCAAACAGCCACTCTGTCCTTTAGAGCCCAGGTCAAAAGCCTTGGATCATCCTAAATGCCTTTTCTCATATACTTCACATCCAGCACATCAGCAAACCTAACCTGTGCCCCTTCCTAAAAATCCCAGTGTTAGTGCGTTTGTACCTTGGCTCCCAAAGCCCTGGTCCAAATGCTGTCATCGGTCACTCGGGTTGTGTATGGCCCCTCCTTAGTGCCCTTGGCTTTGCCCTGGTCTCTGTCAGGCCATCCAGCGTATGTGCCGATGTGTGGGTACTGACACTCCTCTGTGTGAAACCTCCCGTGGCCTCTTTTCCCTGTAGCCTCTTCCAGCAGCTCTGCTGTCCCCCATGCTCTGTCGCCTGTCACTTGTCCCCACCCCCCTTGTCCAGCCTCCTTGCAGGGGATCTCCCACCTCCAGAATTCAGCCTTCATCTTCCATCCACTGGGGTGCTCTTCCCCCAGATAGCCACACGGCCTCCTCCTCCAGGGACTTCACATGTCACCTTGTCATTGAGACCCTATTCAGCCTCTGTCTTGACGCTCCTCATCCCTCTTCCCTACTCACATTCTGCCCTGTCACCAAGCTGGCGTCTGTTTTCTTATTAGGCCACTTGAACTGTCTCACGTCTGTCCCCTATAACATAGGATGGGGGTTTCTGTTTGTGTGTGTATCACACACTCTCTCCTTGGGACCTAGTGCAGTGTTCAGACTATATTATGGATGGTCAGAAGATACATGTGGACTGTGAGAACAATTCCACATGCTAAAGCAGTCACTGACTCTAAAAGTGAACTTGGGGAAATACTGAAAACAGTCTCAACAGGACCCCTCTGCCCAGTGACTTGACTTCTGATTGTTTAAGAGATGGTTTCATCTCCTGGGAGATGGACCGTGAGGCAAGCACTTCCCTCAGACTCCCTGGAAAGGATGGAGGCACAGAACTCAGGGAACACCACACAGGAGAGCACATGCAGGCTGGACTGAGAGGGTCAGGAAAGCACAGGAGGGACAGACAGACAGCCAGAGAGATGGTCTCCCCATACATGGTTTGTAAGGCAGGGCAGCAAGCCCATGGCCTGTGACACACTGAAGCCTGGAGTTGAAAGGACACTGCCCACAGGGCGGAGGTCTGGGAAGCATTGTGCGATGCAGTCATGGGTTCTGGCATTGGTGTCCTCCTGGGTCACGTGGACCCAAGACTAAAACCATGTGAGTGTTAAGTGTAGAGCAAGCCCTGGTCCCCAAGTTGCCTACTGAGTTCCTTGTTTGCCTCATACTAATCCACGTGTGTCCTGTGCTATGTCCTTGTCTGTGGGCCCTGCTGAACTGGCAGAAGGACAGTCCCCGACTGTTGTGAACCAACGGGGTGACATGGTCTGACCTTAGCTTGAGCTTGGTGAAGTGCACACTTCTGTCTTCTTGCTTTTACTTTTAGTGCTGAGGACTGGACCCAGGGCCTTGTACATGCAAAGTACTTGTTCTCCCACTGAACTGCCCCCTCCCTCTCCTTAACTGTAGCAGCCAATGCCCTGCCTTGTCCTCAGTGTCTGGAAGAACAGTGTTCTCACGGAGCACACAGTGTTGTAGTGAAACACAAACTCCGTGCCATGAGCAGAAGTTACTGTGGACCAAGTCAGAGCACTTAAGTCACTTGGACAGCAAAGGCATCTCAGAAACACGTGTCCTCTTTTCCTCTTTTCCGGCCTATGGTCCGAAGATTTGTGTGAGGTTTTCCCAAGGGTTTTCAGAATGACTTATCTGTGAGTCGAGCTGGTGACCCTGAAACTCCCAAGAAGAAAGAGGAGCTGGATAAATTCTGGGTTTTGAGTTCTTAGAATCAAACCCTTAGGATTTTTCAAAACAATATTTAGAGTGTGGTCAGTCACAAAATTCCCAGTGGCCAACTCTGGTGAATAGGCCAGCCGTGAGCATGAGATATGAAAGCAAACTCCCACCAGCAAGTGTTGAGTCCCTGTGTTCCTGTGAAGAGCCCGCACTGGATGGCCGAGTACTGAGGGACTGAGAGCAGAGTCACATGGGGGATGTGCTGCAGCTACAGGCAAGGATCCCAGACTTATCTCAGAGGCCTGGAGCTCATCCTTGGTCTCAGGGCCCATGCTTTCCGGAAGTGAAGGTAGTGCCTGGTAGAGACCACTCAGATCCCAGATCAGGTGTGACTGGCGAAGGTCGTGACATTCCTACCGTGTCCTTCTGGGACTCTGAATGGAACTGGGATTTCATTCAGGGCACTTGGATAGTGTTCTAGTTTTCTTTCTGTTGCTGTGATAAAACACTCTGACCAAAAGTAACTTGGGTAAGGAAAGATTTATTTGGCTTATACTTCCAGGTCACAGTGCACATTGAGGGAAATCAGGACAGGAAGTCAAACAAGGACCTTGACATAGAAACCCTGGAGGCATGCTGCTTGCTGGCTCGCTCCCTCCTGGGTTCATACTTAGTTGGCTTTCTTATACAGCCCGGGATCACCATTCCGTGGAACAGTGCTGCTCACAGTGGTCTGCTCTTCCACGAGTTACTAACCAGGACGGTCCCCCATAGGCTGACAACCCCCAGCTGAGACTCCCTCCTCAGATGACTCTAGGCTGTATCTAGTTGACAAGGAAAGCCAATGAGGACAGTTAGCTTAGTGCTAGCCACACTTGCTCCTCTTAGGGGTACCCATTGTCAAAGCCTCCAAGACCCTGTGTTCTTTCTGGGAGGCTTGCATACCCCTGAGGCTGCAGAAAAAAGAGGATATGAAGAAGGGACAGGGGGAAAAAAAGGTAGGTCCCAAATGTGGAAGCTGTATAAAAACCACTTAGTAAACAATGTAAAGAGAGCTGGCTATCCATTTGGGAAGAAATCACAGAAACCCCGTACGATTGCAGATAAAAAGATGAATTCGAGCTATATGGTTGCTTTCCCTTTTTTTAAGCATGAAAAGTACTGAACATTTTCATAATCTTTGGATGGGAAGCCCATCTTCTGAGGCAGTGACAAATCCCGAAGAAAAGATTGGCAGATGTCAGTCACTTTTCCATTGCTGTGATAAAATGGCCAAAGGCAACTTAAGGAAAAGAGAATCTGTTAGGATTCCAGTGTCCATAATGGCAGGGAAGGCCCAGCAGCAGCAGGCGGGGGAGCAGGAGCTGGCATTTCACATCTTCAAACTAGAGAGAGAGCAGGAGTGGGCGAGGTTCGAGCTGGCCAAGCCAGCCAGCCGCCCCCCATGATGCACTTCCTCCAACACGGCTCCACCACTTTCCCAAACGGCACCCCGAATGGGGAGCTAAGTGTTCAAATACCACAACCTATGGGAGACATTTCTCATTCAAACCACCACCACAGATAGGAATCTATAAAAACATTAACCTTTTGTAGCATCAGAATACTTCATTAACAAAGCCCAGAGGTGTTTGAGGAGATATATTTGCAGCATTGTTAATAGGGAAGTGATTTCTTTCTTATTTTTCAAAATAACAAGGAAAAAGCCAAAAATGATACAAATGAGTAGGGCTAGACAGAAAATTCACAGAAGTTTAAGTGGCAAATAAGCATGGTCAACCTCCCTTGAATTCAGAGCATTGAAAGCTAAAAATGAGGTTTTAATCTTTGAGCTGACAAAGACCAAAAGACTTGATGCATTGTTGGCCCAGATGAAGAATCATGAATATGCCCATGAATACTGCAAGTATGAAATACAGGAAGAGAGACTGTCAAACTTTAAATATAAGCCTGACAGCCCCCCGGCCAGGAGTCTGTTCCAAGAGACTGTAATCTACTCAGCTAAAGGTTTGTTTGACTTTCTAAGAGTGGATATAGATTGTCATGGTTTCAGCATTATCATAGTCCCTTCCTATTCCGGCAAAGTGAATGAAAGCACCATCTACTCCATTTGGGTTCTGGCAGGGCTATTAGAGGTGAGATAATAATGCTAAATGTATGTTATTAGGAACTTAGCACAAGCTGGGGAGATGGTTCAGCGGCAAAGTGATTGCCACACAAGCATGGGGACCTGAGTTCATCCCTAGCGTCCACATAG